CGGGTATAGCTCTGTCAGGCCCTTTCGTCTAATTCCTGGCAGACCAGCTCTGACAGTGGACGGGTGTAGACACGGACGAAAGTGACGAGGAATCCGTTTCCCCGGCATTTCCGTACATTTCTCCTGCGTAATAAATCTGACGCGCTTGAACCGATCACTATGCACTAAAAGTGGTGACTTAGACTACTGTCAATTGACAGTATAACTCGGTCCTCTCCAGGCGGAGTGTCAGTCACAAATGTCTCATTATGAATGTGGCCTTTATGGCAGTGGCCTCTTCTGCGGAGTTTGTTTGGGTTGTCAGCCACTACGCCCGATTTAACCTTCGGTCGAGTTAACTTATTCTTGCGACCGAACAAAGGACGATAGAGGAAAATGCGGCGGTTGCTGCACAGGTCCACTACCACTAAAAAATAATTCACCTATTGCTGTTTTCGTTATATTTTGAGGCAAAAATTCGAGAATGTCGTTCGTTACAGCCAATGACACTACCGTGTTGTAGGATCCTACAACACGACAATGTTTAGTTCGACTAAGCATGTTAAGTTTACACATTCAAAAAAGCATGTGTACTCGTACTTGCTGAAAAACTGCCTTTATCCGCCTCAGGTTTGCGATTCTTACTTAAATACACTAAGGAAGACAAATTGAGATGTTAATTCTTGACTTATTGTAACCTGAAACTTAATCCCTATAACGCATATGATTGCATGGATTGGATAGTACTCAAAAATTCATCTACAATCTCAGGGATACCACTAATAGATTTTCCTAAGTGGAGCTGAAGTGGATTGTGAGAAATCGGGAAACAACCGACATGAGCTTTTGAGCCCGACAAACGCAGAAAGCTCCTAGAACACGAGGACTAACAACCACAACATCCACAGTCGAATGTATGAATCAATATTGCCTGGAGGGGTTCACCAGGAAGTATGGAGGTCCCCAGGAGTTTTGATTAACTTAGGTGAGCAAAGCACGGCATGACAAAGAACCAACACCGAAGGCCTTTGCGGTTAGGCTGGGACGCTTGCCTTTTTTAAATGACGGTCAGGAGAGTAGCAAAAATACGATAAAATAGGCGGAAGTCTAAGCAACAGTAAAGAAGCACAACAGTCCAAAACATACAGCACGGACTTCTCATTTTCGTTTTGTCCTATCCGCCTAAATTTCGA